AGCCGCTCCTGTGAGTGGCACTATGAGCACGGCGACAAGGAGTTGAGCCCGCCTCCTCCTCCTCCTCTGCTGTTGCTGCCACAACCACACCGGTGGCTCCAAGGTGCACTGCAAGGGCCACTGCCTCATTGCTGTGGTGGTGGGTGGCTGCCACTGGGCAATGAAGCCAGGATGCCCCCACTGCTGCTGCGCCCCTGCCATGAGACTGAGCACCATGGCTGCTTGTGCTTGGTGCTGTCCCTGCAGCAGGCTGAGGCACCCATGGCGGCCAGGAACAGCAGCAACGGTGGGTGCAGGAGTGGGTGTGGGGCCAGCAGTGGCAGCCACATGGGCAGGCGGAGCACAGCATCTGCGCGTGGCGGGATCACCGCGGTGGCAGCAGCAGCTCTAACAAGTGGCACTGTGAGCACTGTCACAAGCGTGGCGACAAGGAGAAGATGGTGGTGACAAGAAGACGGTGGTGGCAAAACCCACCTTGTCCTCCTCCTCCACCACGGCCACCGAGCAGGGCAGCAGAAGCTCAGTGTGTGGAGCCAGTTGTCTTGAGGAGGGCACCCTATTGTGAAGGCATTTCTTCTCCCCCTGGGAGCACTGACTGCTTTTAGAGAATGATGGAGATGTCACAGGCTCCAAGGCTGATGCAAAGATCATCTCCTCACAGATTCCCCCAGCATCTGGGCTGGCCTCTGCCTGAGGTGTTTCCTTTTAACTCCTCCCCATCATCAAAACTTGGGGGCCAGCCTCTGTGTCCTTAGGGCTCTGCTGTGTCCTAGAGGGGCTGAACTCATGCATGTATCTATGAGTCTATGTAGCATGAGGCTACTTGCACCCCTACACCTTGCCTTACGCCAACCACGGGTGTTAATTTCTGACTGGCCACCGCACAGAAGTTGTTCTGCCTTTTTTAGTTAGAAAAGTCCAGTTTGGATGGTGTGTCATCCAGATTCAGGCCATATCGCATCTGGCCTGTGATCTCCTTTTACCAGCCCTGGGTTACCTCGCTTCCCAGTATGCTTTTCTATCTCTGTCTTGCATCTGTCACAGTCCATGGATCTGTGTCTTTTCCTTCCCCACACTTCATTGCTGTCCCAGTCCTGCCCAGCTGGATCTGGGATCCACAGTTTGGTCTCTGGTAAGTAGCAGGGCCCTCCTGGGCTCAGCTTATTTCTGTTTGCCCCCCCCGGGGATGCCACCACCTTCCCTTGGTGGGGCTGTGATCTACTCCGGGCCCAGCAAAGGACTCAGTTCCAGTCATCTCTGTTCCCGGTCCGATGGGGCTTTTATGCCCCCTTCAGGGGGCTGGCTGATGAATCGGTGCCGGCATGCCACCATAAAGCGGATCCATGCTGGCCCTGGCCCCGGCCCCGGCCCCGGCCCTGGCCCCGGATCTCGCTGGACCTGCTGTGATTTTTTCTTCTATCTTCATTGCGGCATTTTTTCCTGCCATGGCCCCGTTCTCGCTGCACTTCTGGTGTGCAGTGGTGTCTCGTTGGCTCCAGTCCTCTCCCTCTCCAGGTAAGATATTCTTTGTGCCATGGTCCCTGCCACAGTGATAGTATTGCATGTCCATAGAGCAACCAGTTTTGAAGAATTACATACCATTAACAATGTCGTCTGTAATACATTTCAGGAAGCAGCAAGAAGACAATATTTGCTGGCCAATGATGAAGAATGGGACTGATGTCTGGAGGAAGCAGCTGGAATTCGAATGCCCAGACAGTTGAGGCAAATGTTTGCATTCATTTGCATAGTTTGTAAATCATCTAATGGATTGCAACTATGGGAACAATGTATGGATGCCATGACAGAGGACCATAGGAGACATCACGATAATGACGTGTCAGTACAAAAAGCATTGCTGGATATACAAGAATTGTTGCTGGTTCATGGAATGAATTGTAGTTCTTTTGATTGACCAAAATAATGACGGCCTTTATGACATGGACGAAGAATTCGCAGAAACAGAACAACAAATTAGAAACCTCAACGCGCAACAGAAATATGCCTTCGATCAAATTGTTAATTTCAAAGAAATCATTAAATAGGTTAGCCTTGCCGTCTGGTGTGACAACCAGATTTCCTAGCATGTCTTGCAGAGGCCCCAAGTTACCCAGTACCTTCTTTTTGCCCCCTATGTATTTAAAAAAGGACTTCTCGTTGTCCTTGATCCGGGTCGCTAGTCCCAGTCCCATCTCCGCCTTGGCCTTCCCGACCGCCCCCCTGCAGCCCCGAGCAGCCGAGGTGTAGTCCTTCGTTGTGATGGCCCCTCCCTTCCATTGGGTGTACGCCTCCCTTTTAGCTAGGAGACGTTCCTGTATGCTTTTGGTGAGCCATGGGGGCTTTTGCGCCCTCTTGCCCCCTTTGATCCTTGTTGGGATTACCTCCCTTTGGGCATGGAAGATCGTCTCCTTAAGGAACGACCGCTCATTCCAGTAGGCGATGATCACTGTCGCCCAGGGGGTCGAGCACCTGCAGTCCCCTCACCAGGTCGTCGCCTGTGGCCAGGACCAGACCCAACAAGGCGTCTCCCCTGGTGGGACTGTGCACCTCCTGGGTTAGATGGAGGTCCTGTATCTTGGCTAGGAACCTACATGAGCGGTCAGACCTGGCTGACTGCTCTTCCTAGCAGATGTCTGGAAAGTTCAGGTCACCCATGATGACCATGTCTTTTGACCTAGCTACCTCCGTGAGCTGACTTAAGAATTCCCGGTCTAGCTCTTCCCCTTGGTTGGGTGGTCTGTAGTAGACCCCCGCCGTTAAGTCCCTTTCCCCTCGACTCCCTTGTATTCTTACCCAGAGCACTTCAGTGTGCCCCTCCTCTGACCTTGTGCTACTAGATGAGGATGTGTATTTCTCCTTGATGTACAGCGCTACACCCCCAACCTTTCCTCCCTGTCCTGTCCCTCCTGTACAGCCTATAGCCCTTGATATTCACCGCCCAGTGGCGTGTTGGGTCCCACCATGTTTCTGTGAGCCCCACTATGCCTGGCTTGGTGTCAGCTAGCAGGAGGGTAAGTTCTTCCTGCTTGTTCCTCATACTACGAGCATTTGTGTAGACGCATTTGTGGGCCTAACGAGAACCAGGAATGAAAACAACTTAAAAATATATATTTTACCAGTGGAAAACAAACCAGGAAATCTAAACAGTGACAAGAAAATATTCACTGAAAACATCGTCTTTAATTTAATAGATTTCTAGTAGGGCTGTGCAAAATTTCATTGGCTGTTTCGTTTCGTGCTCAAAACAGCGAAATCGAAACAAAAGGCTTTGAAACAGCCTTGAAACAAAACGAGAGCAGTTGAAATGTTTTGAAAGTTTCAAAATGTTTCAAAGCTGAAGCTGGGCTTGCCTGCAGGGAAACAGAAAGTAAGGGGAGCGGAGGGAAGGACTGCTCTGATAGTGACTGTGACAGTTTGGCTGACTGAGATGCTGCTGATGCTACTGTGCTGCTCACTAAGTTATTACCTGTTGTCATTTAAAGTGGTGGACTGGGATGAGGCTGTACGGGAGGAGGAGATCTCATTGGGGAACACTACCGTGTTGTGTAGAGGACCCAGCACCAGTGAGGGAGCACCTCAACACACACACAGTCACGAGTTTTGCTTGTCAGCAGCTTGAGATGCAGTTTCCCAGAAACCCCTGCACCTATCTCCTTGAAACTTGGTAGACTTTGTGCTCTCAGAAGGGGCTACCATCCTTGCAATTTTCATCCAAATCAGGCAGGAAATGACAAAGTTATAGGTATTTTCATGATTCCCCATGCTAGCCTATGGGCAAAATGTCAAAACAGTGTCGAAACAGTGAAACAGTTTTGACGAAATGAAATGGAGCAGTGCTTTGAAAAAGCAAAATGAAACACTGTCCCTTCAAAATGGCAAAACGGAATTCAAAACAAAACGGTCCTGTTTCGCACAGCCCTACTGAATATATATATACACGCATACCCCCGCCACCCCACACACTTTATACCATAGCAAATTTTATGTATATATACACCTATATACACAGGCACACATACACGTATAGATGACTTAATTTATATACACATATAATTTATGTGTGTGTATGGAGTGTAAATGCATATGCATGTGTGTATAATTTGCTATATTATAAAGTGTGTACCTGTGTATGTATATGTGTGTGCATATATAATTAATGTGCTGTTATAAAGTGTATGTGTATAGATATATATAATTTCATATAAGTTTTGTGAATTTACATGTATATGTGTGTGTATGTACGTGTGTATACACACACACACACACACACATATATATGCAAAATTGGTGTTTTATAAATAT